TATATATATATATATATATATATATATATATATGTATGTATGTATGTATGTATGTATGTATGCATGCATGCATGCATGCATGTATGTATGTATGTATGCATGTGTATATATATGTATATATATATATATATATATATCTAGACGTGTATGTATGTATGTATGTATGTATGTATGTATGTATGTATATATATATGTACAGATAACGCCCTGCCACGACGCACCCCGCCCTCCTGGCGGGATGGCACTGCCGTGACAGGCCGCCGGGAGTGCGCCACCGTGCCGCTAGGCACGGAGTGGGCGTGTCCTCAGGTCCTATGCCTAATCCCTGAAGCACTCCTGAAGAATCTAGATCGGGCCCGGATCCCGAGTGCCTGAATCTCTTGGGGCTCCCAGCGTGCCCCCTGGGCTCCAGCGCATCTTGTCGAATGATTTTCTGGGGCCCAAGAAGCCTTCAGGGCGGGACAAGAGAGCCCTAAGAGGCTCCCAAGACGAACAAAAATGGAGCCCGAGACGCCCAACGACCGCACCAATACGCCCAAGATGGCCCCACGACGGCCCCAGAGGCAGCCAAGACGCCCCAACAGGCTTCCAGGAGGCCCCCCAAAGGGGCCCCAAGAAATAATTTTCTCATTGATGTTCCATAGGTTCTTCAAGGATGTTGTTGTCCTCGCCTTTTCTGTTTTCCGACGCTCCATGACGGCTACCACAAGACGGGCCAGGGAACCTCCAAAAGGGCCCCTAGACGGCCAAGGGCGCCCAAGCACGGCCCATGAGGCGCCCAAGATGGCCCAAAGGGGCCCCAAGACGGCCCGAAAAGGGGCCCCAAAAGGGGCCCAAGAATGGGACCACGAACCGAGAAGCCGAACCTTCCGCCCCAAGAGGCCCCCAGAAGGCCCCAAGAGGCCCCAAGATGCACGAAGAAGCCCCCAAGAGGCCCCAAGAGGCCCCAAAGAGGCCCCAAAGACACCCAAAAGATACTCAAAGAGGCTTCAAAACGGCCCCCAAGAGGCTTCAAACCTGCCTCCAAGAGGCTCCCGAGAGACCCTTGACGGGATGGGACGAAGGCCATTATATATTCTCTCGAGGATCGCAACAAGTCTGGCCTTAATGTCCGCCCAGCACACACATAAAAAACTTCCCAGCAGGTCCTGAGGTTTCTGAGAGGGCTTCTTGGAGGCTGGGGGTGCCTTTAGGGCGCCTTCTGCCTTCTCAGAAGCCCCCACGCCTTCTCAGAAGTCCGGCCGAAGACCCCCTGGAGCGCGCTGCCACGCCGGCTGTCGGGCCATAGCTCAGCCGCTCTGGACAACCCGGAACGCCCCTCAGCTGAGTGCAGGCAGCAGCTGGCAAGCCAACCCCCCCGGCCACCACCGGAGAGCTGCGAGCACCGACAGGGATCGACGATCGATGATTGAGGAACAGAAGCGAGGAGGAGGATCAACGACCGAGAACCGAAGACCGAGGACGAGGAGGAGTAGGAGTAGGAGGAGGGGGAGGAGGAGGAGGAGGAGGAGGAGGAGGAGGAGGAGGAGGAGGAGGAGGAGCAATCCCCCTCCCCTCCCCCTCTCTGCCTCTCTGCCCCTGCAGAGGTTGCAGCCTCGGGGGCGGGGGGGCTCCGTGATCCAGCAGGCTCCCCCATGGGGCATCCCGAGGGGTGGCACGAGAGGAGGAGGAGAAGGAGGAGGAGAAGGAGGAGGAGAAGGAGGAGGAGGAGGAGGAGGAGCAGGAGGAGGAGGACCGGGAGGAGCAGCAGGAGGAGGAGGGATGGGGAGAAGGGGAGAAGGGGAAGGAGCAGGAGGAGCAGGAGGAGGAGGAGGAGGAGGTAGACAAGGGGGACGGTAAGGAGGAGGGGGAGGATGAGGCTGAGGAGGAGGAGGAGGAGGATGAGGAGGAGGAGGAGGAGGAGGAGGAGGAGGGGTGGTCCAATTTTGGTGCTAGAATTGATTTCGATAACTCATGCGTGCTGGAAAATGGAAAACGGTGCTGGCTCTGGTTTCGCTGTTGCCGGCCTCCAGAGGCTCTCGCTGGGCCCTGGGATCGCCAGCGCAAAAACAACCACATCGGATCTATGCGATGCCAAGATGCGTCGCCTTTTGACGCTCTGGCAACTTTTCGTTTCCCGCCTCTCCTGTCGCTTCGGCGCGAGGCTGGGTCGGTGCACACTCTCTCGGGCGTGCGGCTGGCCATGGCTTGCGCGAACGAGGTCTCCGAAAGGGCCAGCTTTCCATTCCTAGACGTGTGTTCACAGCCCCAGGGTCCGGCGAGGGCCACAGGAAGCGGGCAACAGCGAAACGAACACCCGTCCTGCAGATCAACACGTTGTAACTATAAGAAGCGAATCATTTCTAGCACCACCGACGGGCGCCCCCTCCTCCTCCTCCTCCTCCTCCTCCTCCTCCTCCTCCTTGCCATCCCACTGTTATTTTTATTATTCTTCCACGTCCTCCTACGCCTTGTTCTTCTTCTTATTCTCATTATTATGTTTAGTATTATTATTCGTATTATTAGTAGCATCATTAGTATCATTATGATCATCAACATTATAATCATCGTCATCATCATCACCATCAGCATTAATATCATTATTATTAATATTACCTTTATTATCATTATTGACCTTCTCCCCCTCCTCCTCCTCCCCGCCCTCATTCCTCCCTCCTCCTCCTCCTCCTCCTCCTTGTCCTCCCCACTTCTGATGCTCCTCCAGACCCCTGCTGGGATTCCTGGGAGGGGAGGAGGAGGAAGAGGAGGCTGACGAGGAGGAGGAGGAGAACGATGATGAGTGGGATTTCGGGTGGTGAGAAAGCTTCTGGGCGACTTTGGGGTCTCGGGGGTTCTGGAGCTGCTCACCCTCCCGGACTTCTCCCCTTCCCTTCCCCACGTCTCTTCCTCAGCTGTCTCCCCGTGATCATGTTTTACTCGAGCGATTTGCCTGTCAAGTCTGGTTTCGGAGGTTGCCAGCGGTGATATCGGTCCAAGTTCGGATGGGGCCAGGACTAGGAGAAGTCTGTCCCGAAGCGTTCCGGACCGCTTCCGGGGCGCTCCCGAACGCTCTGAGACGGCCGCTGCGCTGGAGTTGGGCGTGAATTGACGGGGGGACGATCAATGGAGCAAGAAAGGTGCACTTCTCGGGCCCTGAAGGCCAACTTCTGGGCCCCAACGGGCCTCCTTAGGGCCCTAAAGAACAACTGTTCTACAGCCCTCGCTGCCCCCTCATTTATCCGCCCCCCCACCATCACGCGACGCCCAACCGAGACGTCCTCTAGAGCGCTGGGATCCCAGAGATTCTCGACTCATCTTCACCAGATGTTAGGCATGTCCTGGCTTCGTCTTTAGAGGCCTCCTAGATGGAGTCGGAGTAGATGGAGTCGGGGGATCGCGCCGCATCGCCGATGCATCGGCGATTCAGTTGCGATGCATCGGCGATGCAGTGGCGATGCATCAGCGACGTGGGCGATGCATCGGCGACGTCCGCGTGAAGGAAATCGGGCTCCACATCGAGCCGCATCAGCGATGCATCGGCGATGCGACGCGATCCTCCGACCCCATGTACTCTGACCCCATCTAGGAGGCCCAGGAGTCTTACAGGTGCCCCCCCGCGAGGGGGCTTGAACCTGGGGGTCAACAACCGGTCCCCGAACCCGTCCCGGGCGGTGTGCGGCCTGGATTTCTTCGACGGGGCGGCCACTCGTGGCACGGAGAGGCCGCCTGGAGGCCCAAGGGAGAGGGCGACCATACGTCCTCGGAGGCGAGCGAAGGGGGGAAGTGAGAATAGGGGGCCACATGCGAACCCTACCCCTACCCCCCACGATTTCTGAGGGGGAGGGTGGGGTTGCCTTCGCTTAGGAGAGCTCCCGAGCGAAGGGAGCCCCACCCTCCCCCTCAGAAATCGTGGGGGGTAGTGGTAGGGATCGCATGAGGAGAATGCCTCCCCAGAAGGCGGCGGAACTTCTCGGGAGGCCTCCGGCTATCTGAAAAGATTACTGTGTCTGACAGGAAGGCTCATAACACTTCTCAGCTTAGCTGCCCCGATACGCAACACGCAACCCGTGACGTGTTCACACGGAGCTCAACACGTAGACTATACACGTAGGTCTGACGCGAGCTCCGCCGAGACGTGGGCTGGCACTCTGGGCCAACACGCAACGTGTCAACACGGACATCTTGACCACGGTACGTGTTGCGATTCAAGGCGGGCGTATCAGGGCAGCTAAGCTTCTCATGGGGCTGGGGACGTCCGAGCCTTCTGCAAAGGCCCGCCCCTTCTCACTCCCCCCCGAGCTCGCCGCCAAAAAAAGCGAATACAAACACATCCTAGCTCCTCGCAGGCCTAGAAGCTGACACCAACACAAATATCGGCGGTGTTCCTCCACCGAGGGAAGAAGATCCCGATCTCGATGATGGTGGCAATATTCTGGCTTCCAAGGTGACCAAAATGATACCACCAACACCGAAATCTAGGATCATCCTCCCCCCTGTGGAGGCAGCCCCCTGTCTTGCTGTTGGTGCCCCTTTCCAGGCCTCCAGCATCCAGAAACCTCCAGCCTGCCTGGGGGTCCGGACTCGTACTCGATCCTCGGAGCGCGGTCCTCGAGATTGGATCCTCCATCGGCCGCGCTCGCGCCCTCCCCCTCCCCCTACAATTAAGTCGGGCCTGTCCCCCTACAAGGGGATTTTAGACGAAAAATCAAAGATACCCCAACCATATTCAAAAATATTGAAAAATGCTCAAGAAATGGTCCCCAGACTAGTCGTTGACTATGTTTGAATATTCCCCTTGTAGAGAGACAGGCCGGACTTAACCCTACAATCATCGTGCTGCAGTACGGACCGCAGAAGAAGGAACGAAGGGTCTCTTGCTGGCCACAGCGAGCCCCAGTCACGAGCAGGTTCCCCGCGCTGCATCCGAGAAGCGGTCCGAAAAACCAAAGTCTGTCCTGAACCCGAGGCGGTGCTCATTTCAGTGCGTTGACAGCACCGGGCCCCGAGGGCAGCGGCCGCGCCTCGCCGATTGTGGCGTTGCGGAGGAACGCCCCGTCGAGCTCACGGACCTGCCGGCGGGCACGCGCGGCGGGAGGGGAATCTATGTATGTATGTATATATCTATATATATCTATATCTATAGTGGAGTCATACAACATGGAGGTGGAGATTCCAGAAACAATTGCCTCTACCCAAGGGTTCTTCCTCCTCATCTGAAGAATTGGGTCTGTCTGGCGGTCCGGCGGCTATGTTGCCGCCGTCGCTGGTCCGCGGCCGCTTCGCCGCCGACCGTCGTCTGGGCCTGTCAGGCGCTCTTAAGACTATGATGCCGCAGTCGCCGCCCCGTCGCCGCCTGTCGTCTGGGCCGGTCTGGCGCTTTTGCGAATGCATTGATGACCGCCGTCGCCGCCTCGTCGCCGCCTCGTCGCCGCCCGTCGTCTGGGCCTGTCTGGCGGCTATGTTGCCGCCGTCGCCGTCCCGTCGACGCCAAATACTGTCCCTCCCCGACAAATGTTAGGATCTACTTCCCCCCCCCCCCCCCCCCGAAAATATCGAGCCCCCTTAGGAACCTGGAACTAACATTTGATTATGCCACATCGTCCACCCTATATATATATATATATATATATATATATATGTATTCCATATGATCCCAGGTGAACCGGTATTCCCCCACCTCATCCTTTGCCAAGAAGTATGCGCGCGCATCCATTTATCAAAACAAAAACAGTTTTACAGACTCCGTTTGCGAACACATGAGACGAAGTGCACACGCGCGCGTCGTCGCACGCGCATGCCGAAATACGTTCGAAACCTTAGCCGTTAAGGATGTCAAAATCGAGCGCCACGAACACATCTAGAACACATGGCTTCGCAACGAAGATGTTCAAAACAGTTTGCGCTCTCGCTACTGCAAACTGCTGGAAACAATCAAATTCACGTTCTCATGGCATGCTACCAAGCGGGCTGTTCGCGCGCGCATGTCGCAATCGTTCGAACGCCCTTGTGCGCGTGCTGTCGTAAGAAGCCGCTTGCAAACAATGAGACGAAATGCACACGAACGCGTCGCCGCGCGCGAATGCTGGAAACTCTCCAAAACCTTAGGTGCCGTAAAGATGTCAAAAACGAGTGCCCCGAAAACATCTAACAACACATGGTTTTACAACATCAGTTTTCAAGAATGCCTGCGCGAAATGTCCTGCGAATCCCATCAGCGAGTTTCCTCTTCCACCCCTCCTTCTTCCCCTTCGGGGGGGGGGGGTACCCCTCCCCCGACCCCCTCCCCATGGACCTGGACAGTGGGTTTCGCGAGTCGTCGGAGCGTCCAAAAAGGCCTCGGCGAGGAAGCCAAAATCATTGGTTTCACTAGGGTTTTGGCCCCATGTTGGCCTCCTGGGGGGGGGGGACGCTAATTAAGCCCCCCCTCCTGTGATCGATCTGACCCAGGATGGCCCAAAGATGACCCCCAAGGCTCCCAAGGGTGCCCCAAGAGGGCCCCAAGAGGTGGCCAGGAAGCCCCAAGAGACCCCCAGGAGGCCCCAAGGATGCCCCCAAGTGGCTCCCAAGAGACCTCCAAGAGAGCTCCAAGAGGCCCCAATAGGCCCCCCAGAGGCACCCACGACGCTCCAAGAGGCCTCGGCGACAATGCCAACATTGCTGATTTTACAAAAAGGTTTTGGCCACATGTTGGCCTCCTGGGGGGGGGGCACTGCTTCAGATAACTCCAAGAGCGCCTGGGAGAGCCAAGTATGATCTCCAAGATGGCTCAAGATGTCCCAAGATGCCTCAAGATGGCGCCCACGATGCTCCAAGAGGCCCCAAGACCGCTCCAAGACGGCTCCAAGTGGCCAAAGAGCTCCCCCAGGAGGCCTCGAAGAGGCCAACATCCTTTCAAAACCTTTGGAAAATCAATGTTTTTTTGATTTCTCGCCGAGGCCTCAAGATGGCTCCAAGATGGCCCAAGAGGGCTCCAAGAGCGCTTCCCAAGAGCGCTTCAAGAGGGCCCCAAGAGGCGCCCAGGAGACCCCAGGAGGCCCCAACAAGCGCCCAAGAGGCCTCCAAGAGGCTCCCAAGAGACCCCCAAGATGCCCCCAAGACGCTTTCCGAGGCACCCAAGACGCTCTAAAAGACGTCTTGGACAGCCAAGGGGCCCCCAAGACGCTCCAAGAAGCCTCCACTGGGGGCCTTTCCTCTGAGTGCTGCCCGCTTCCCTGATCGAGGCAATTTCTCTGGGCATCGTTTCTGGATGGGCTGGTGGGGATTCTTTTTGCGTCGCGGCCGCAGGCGAAGGCGCCAGCGGCGAGTAGGCTGGTGGGGATTAGCGAAGCGTCAGCAATTCTTCAGAAACCCATTGGTTCTGAAACGTTGTCATCGGATGCTGCCAAGCGGGACTCTCGCGCGGCATGTCGAACTCGTCCGAACGCCCTTGCGCGCGTGCTGGGGGGGGGGTCGCGATGTGTGTGTGTGTGTGTCAAAAACACCACGGAGGCCACTCGCGAGCGTCGGCCGCGCGCGCATGTCGAACTCCTTCCATAATTTTCATCACCGGCGCGAACACATCGTCATCGTTCATCGGCGGGCGTGAGCAACTTCAGGGCCGTCATTGGCCTTGCCGTCGTCATCGCCACCATGGCCAACGCCATCGCTACTCTCATTATCGTGTCTACGGTTGTCGATGTCGCTATGATATCGCGCCCGAGTCACCGGCTCGCACTGCAGTGCCCACCGGGATGTGCCCAGCGGTCAGCGCCACCGCGGTCGCGTCGGTCGCGCCAAACTAGTTGGCCGCTGCGCGCGCGTGCGTGCGCGGGTTGGCGCGGCCGCAAACATGCATTCGCCAACGCCAAGCACTCATCGCAATCGCCGCCGCATGGATTTTGCAAGCCAAGTTGCGGGTGGGTGGGTGGGATGATTGCGCGAGTAGTGGAGTTGGCAACTTACTGCGAACACAAGTGGGTTGCACCACGTAGATTCTCCTTTTTAATTAAAGCCTGAATTTCGCAACGCAGATATTCAATCAAAAAGCTTGCGCGCGCGCTCTGAGAATCATCTATTGTCCAGTAAATTCATAACATGCTACCAAACAGGCTTTGCGCGCGCATATGTCGAAATCGTTCGAACGCCCTTGCGAGCGCGCTGTCGCAAGAACCCTTGAGACGGGACTGAGTGCACGCACGCGCGTCGTCTCGCGCGCGTGCAGGAATCCGAAAAATCAGCCTGAGACTTCGTAGGGATGTCAAAACCGAGTGCCCCGAAACCCAAACAAAACATATGGTTTCGCAACAGCTGTTCGCAAAAACGCCTGCATTTGTGCTCGTGCGAATTGCATAGAAAACCATCGGTTCTTCTCAACCTACATTCAATTCGACCAAACGGGCCTCTCGCGCCGCATGGCGACATCACTCGAACGCCCCCGCGCGCGTGCTGTGGGCACGATCCGCTTCAAATAGAAACAATGCGGGCCAGTCGCAAGCGTCGGCCGCGCGCGCATGTCGAACTCCTTCCAAACCTTCATCGCCGATGCGGGGACGCCGTCATCGTCGCCGGCGTGATCACCATCGGCGCCGTCACGAGCCGTGCCGTCGTCACTATCAGCATCGTCGCCAGCATCGCTATGACCAGCATCGCGCCTACCGTTGTCGACCTTGCCATGATACCGCGCCCGCCCAAGTCGCCGACTCGCACTGCAGTGCCCGCTGGGCTGTGCCCAGCGGTAAGCGCCATAGCGGCCGCGACGGCCGCAACAAACTAGCTGGCCGCTGCGCGCGCATGCGCGGGCTGGTGTGGCCGCAGAGATGCACCAGCCAACGCCAAGCAGTCATCGCAATCGCCGCCGCATGGGTTTTGCACCCCAAGTTGCGGGTGGGTAGGTGGAATGGTTGCAAGAGCATGGGGGGGTGAAGCGCGGTGCAGTGTAGGCAAGTGTACCACATAGCTTGCACCAAATTGATTATCCTTTCTCAAAACAATAGACTCTACCCCCCCCCGCGTTATCCCCCCCTTTCGGGTATGCAGATCATATACGATTCTGACCACATGTCCATCCTAAATATGCATTTGCACTATCCCAGGGAGGCCAGTATCGCTCCCCCTGAGGTTTCCTTGTAAAAGCGATACGCGGGGACATCTTTTGTTCTAACATAACACTTCTGAACGAATTCCCCCACAAAAAAACATACAAAAACACAAGGTTTCGCAACACGGCTTTGCTAAAAAAGCTTACGCGCGAGCTCTTGCGAATTTTTTGGGAAAAAACAATCGGTTCTGTTTGTTTTAAATATTTTCACAACATGCTACCAAACGGGCTTCGCGCGCGCATGTCGAAATCTGTCGAACGCCCTTGCGCGTGTGCCATCACGAAAACCATCTGCAAGAAAATGGGACGAAGTGCAAACGCGCGCGCCGTCGCGCGAGCATGCCGGAATCCTTCAAACCCATCGGCTTCGGAAAGATTTCAGAATCGTGTGTCCACAAAGCATACAAAAACACAAGGTTTCGCAACACGGATGTTCAACAAAAGCGTGCGCGCGCGCTCTTGTGTCGTCGTCGTCGTCGTCGCCGTCCTCCCTCTTCCCGCGTCGTCGTCGTCGTCGCCTACGTCGTCCTGTCTTTCGTCGTGTTCGTCGTCGTCGTCCTCTTTGGCGTCGTGGTCGTTTCCGTCGTCGTTGTCGCCGTGGTCGTCCTTCCTCTTCTCACCTCGTCGTCGTCGTCGTCCGTCGTCGGCGTCTCGTCGTCGTCCCTCCCATTTCGTCGCCGTCGTCGTCGTCGCCGTCGTCGTCGTTGTTGTCGTCGTCGTCTTCCCTCCTCCCTCGTCATTGTCGTCGTCGGCGTCGCCGTCCTTCCTCCTTCTTCGTCGTTCGCGTCGTCGCCGTCCTCCCTCCTCCCTCGTCGTTGTCGTCGTTGTCGCCGTCGTCGTCCTCCCTCCTGCCTCGTCGTCGTCTTCGTTGGCGACGTCGTCGTCGTCGTCTTCGTCGTCGTCGGCGTCGGCGGCGTCGTCGTCTTAGTCGTCGTCAACGTCGGCGTCGTCGTCGCCGCCGTCGTCGGCGGCGTCGTCGTCGTCGGCGTCATT